ATGACCCCATCCAGCCATCCTTGAAAATGCTCACGGTTTAAGTGTTAAAAAACAAGGGTGGAATTAATAGAAAACAAATACAACCAAAAGCTCCAACTTAGAAGTATGGGATTTCAAACACAGCAATGATTTGAAGATCACATTTTTGCGCAAAGACAAAAAGAAAACGATGGAAATTGGTAAAGTATTTAGTATTCCTAAGCTTCCAAAATCAAAACGCTATACAGAATTTTGAGCAGAGAAAAAATACAATCTAAGACAATCCCGTGAATGTTCAACACAAAAAAAAGAACATTAAAGTGTTACTTGGTTACCGTTGGGTGAAGATTTGGCAGAGAACGATTGACCAAAAACAGGCAAATGAACTACATATTGACTAAGTAAGAGGAAGAATCCAGAGAAATCCATGGAGGACATCATTCTCCATTCCACTAAAACCATCACAAACAACTTAGTACTAAATGAGGAAACAATGGCAATCATATTGAATTAAAATAGTTCAACTATTATGCACTAATTAGCAACAAGTAGTTCAATAAATAAATAGATGGGCATTCAGTCATTGTTCTAAAATACATAAAAGCTACTAATTACGAAGTCTCAGTAACTCTGAAAATACTAGGGCTGTCAGTTAATTGGGGCAACTCGAAAATCAGCCCGAACCAAACCCGATTCGAATAAAAGGGGCCGAACATTCGGGTCAAATCGGGGAATTTCTGGTTTACCCATCAACCGAAGTGATAATGCGGTGCGGGTGTGGGTGGAAAGCTTTTTATTCGGCACCGCCCGAAAACCTGAAACAATAAACATTTTTTTAAAAAAAAGAAATCTTAAAATATATATACTAAAAATATGCTAGGGTTGATGGTCTCATTCTTTTTGGCCGTCGCACTACTCCTCTCAGTTTCTCATTGCTCCCTCTTCCATTTCCCATTCTTCAACTTTCTTCTCCATCACCAACACTCATCCTTTTTTCTTTTTTTTTCAATCTCTTCTTCTCAAATATTTGAGGAGATCCCCAAAACATCAATTCTCAATCTCCAATCTGACAGATTCCAACAACTTCTTCAAGTTTCTTCAGCAACGGTCAAAGGACAACGATTCAAGTTTCTTTTCTTTTTGAAAGAATTTTATAGGATAATAAGAATTTGTTGTATTTGTGCGGCTGTTTCCTTGAAAATTAGTTTTTGGTGTCGATTTTTTGCCCTTTTATGGAGGAGAAACCAAGGAAGTGTTAAACACTATTCCGATGACTTTCTCAAAAAAAAAAAAAAGGAAAAATACTTATGCGGGTGAATTGAAACCGAACCGATGATTGAGATTGACATACTCATGGTGTCGCTGCAATTTGACATACTCATAAGTGTGGTGTGGGAAAATGATTCTTTTTTCTCGAAGTCGGAGCTCTTCCCCTTGTAGTCGAGTTAGTCGAGTTAGTCCTTTGGATGAGAATATCCCTCAAACTAATTTAAATTAGACGAAATAGTTAAAAAGTTTTCAAAACTTAACCCTTATGGTATAAAAAAGATATTTAAATTTATTTATTAATTTTCATCTAATAGTCTCTTAATAAAAATTATTTTAAATTTTTTTTAGTGTGACAGATGAACTCCAATTTTTTTTTTTTGTTTTTCCTCTATGTTATAGATACATAAAAAACTATATTACAAATTCTTTTTTATGACACCATTTTTTCTATGTGTTATAAATATATACAAAATTATGTTACACCTTCATTTTTTTCAATAATTATTTTTTTTTCTTTTATGTTAATTAAAAACTTGTATTTTTTTATTTTTTCTCGATCTCTTTTCATAACTTTTTGGTGTATACCAAAAAAAATCAAGAAAAACAATGGACAAGAAAATTTAAAAGTAAAATACTTTTATAAATTTTTATACCATAAGGAGCATTTTTAAAAAATTTCTAAACTATTTGGCCTAATTTCATTTAGTTTGAGGGATTTTTTCGTCCAAGGGACTAAAACGACGACAAAAGTCATACCTTTGAATGAAATTGACAAGTAGAACAAACATTTGAACTAAATCGACAACCAGAGTAAACGATCGAACTAAATCGATACTTCTCCCTTTAATTAGACTTTATGGGTTACATTTGGTGTTTCTTAATGTTCTGACTTTTGATCCCTTCAATTAATTTTTATTTTATTTTTAATTTAAATATTATAAACAAATTAAGGCTGATTGTTTGTTGAATTATTATTGGCCATGGTTTCAGTAATTTTGTAGCTTTAAATTTTCATGTATCTTTTCATCTTCTCTTCTTTAAATTTTAAGCTTTCAGTAATGAGAATTGGAAAGATTATTCCATAATTCAGATAAAATACTAAGAGTTTTGTACTTTAAATTTGTCAATATATATAACTCTAAAAAATAAGAGTTTTATCACATCTATCTTTTTTTTTTCTTTCATTTGTTTGTTTTCTGCGCTCGATGACCTTTTCATCCCAAGTTCATTGAATGTAATCACCAACTCAATTATTTTTACTCATTTTTTATGAAACTTCCAGTTTCGATTTCTTTTTCCTTCCCCTTTTTTTTTGTTTTTTTTTTTTTTGGAGGGGAGGGTAGAGGGGATGGGAAAGGCTTTGTTATGGAAAAAAAATTGATTGTATTTTATTATTCACTTTGTGCATGTGTGTGTGTATTTTTTCAAGAGTTAAAATACGATTTATATTTACACTAAATTATGTTGAATATTTTTTACTATATAATAGTATGATTTACGTATACGCGAAGCGCGTTCATTCCATCTAATAGTTTTTAAAACATTAAAATTAGTTATGCTTCCTGAATAAAATCTAATGGTTCAAATTAATCCATTATAAGTATCATCATCATCATTGATAGTAATTATAATTTTGTTCGTTGCACGAGTTGCGTTAGGTATGATATTAAAATTTTAAGACGTTATTTTTTGCATAAATTGAGTACTCTGAGAGGTTACAATTACTATTATCTAATCAAACTTACAACCGCGTCTATTTCTAGCTATAATTTAGCGGTGTTGTATGATTTCAAGCACGTTTCATGATGAAATATTGTTATACATCACTAGTAGCATATTTAGAGTGTAGTTATTATGCTTCAAATCAAGTTAGAGATAAGCAAGAGAGCGATTTTTCGCGGCAAATTATTTAGTGCATCTAGAGAGTAACTTTACATGGTAAATTATATGGTAGCTCCAGATCCATGTAGAAGTGTGTAGGTATGCTCTTTTATTACTTTTTCCAAATTATGACATTGTTCTGTAATTTCAGGAAAAAATGAATTTAAAAATTCAAAATTTTAGATAGATATTTCTCTTAATTTGTAAAAACTTAGCAAAGGTATTTTCTAAATAAATTTTATTGCACTCACCAAATATATATAATGTGATCCTCGCAATATGTTTTTGAATTCTAATTTTTGTATGAAAATTATCATGCTTTACTCGATTTGCATGTTTATAGCTTTGAATCTTTAGTTGATCTAATACATAATTTTGATGAACATGATATCTAATTTTGATTACGCAATTTTTAAATTATTAATTATTGAAAATTTGATGGACCTACTATACAAGATTTTAATGGACAGGAAATATAAGTTGGATGGATCTATTATAGAATTTTATTAATAGGAATGCATTATATTTCTTTAAAGGTCATGGCTAGTAAAAAAATTTTTTATGATGATCACAACAGATCTAATTCTAAAAATTACTAGAGATGATGGACCCTAAAACACTCAAAATAAAGTTCCCAAATCTTCACTCAATCTATAGCAGAAAGCTCATCAAGTGAAGGAAAATGCAAGCTCATAGTAGTGTACAATTAGGGTGAGTTTAGAATTACAGAAAAAATTAAGGAGGTCAAGTGTAATTTGTTATAATGCTGATTTTATCAGCTTAAGTACGGAATTACTGTTACTAGTAACTCCTTACTCCATCACAAAAGCACTTCATGAACACACTATGGAATTGTTTCAGTTAGCATCCTAAGTCCTAACCTAATCTTCCTTCCAGAAAACCAATGGAAGACGCACGGAAACAATCAAATACAGAGGATATCTAACATCAGCCAACAACAGGAAGGGGGAAAATCCCATTCTGTTCTTCTAGGAAGGACAAAGAGAAGCATCATCACCAATAAAGGGAGGAACAAGCACAAGAATAGAGCCACATCACAACAGCAACACAATAAGGCCAAAAAGAACCATCAAGGATTAAAAGATAATAGGGTCAATGCTGGATCTTAAAACTCATCGTTATCGCCAATGAGTAAAGGATTCCAGATTCAACGATGCTTCATTTTGCAGCATCACAATTATATATACTCAATGCATATCTGAAGTGTCATCCTGATGCACCTAGATATGCATGCTGCTGTATTGCGCATCTGGGATCATGCCAAAGCATTTGCCGGAGGGCCTTCTTTTCAACGTGTTACAAATGCTGTCTCAATGATCGGCCATCTGCATTTTAGTAAGTAAAATTCGGATTCCGGGAAAATTGAACAACCTTGTTTGTTTCCTACCTAGCTTTAGAGGATAGGAGAAGCCAAAAAATGTAAGTTACAGATATGAGAAGAGAGACATCCTACAAGTACCATCTTCTACTGTATACCAAGAAGTATACAGTACATAAATGGCTACGGTAATGGAACAAATTAAAGTATGTGATACAACTGCATGAAAACAGTCAATACTCCAAAGAAATACAGTTCATACAGCATACTGCATATATAGCACCTAAATTTCATTGGAAGCTGAAGTTTAAATCAAATTTGTCAGATTTGCCAGGAAAATTAGACTTATGATGTTGCAGCAATCATACAATGTAACTACTAAAACCATTTCTACCTTACAAAAATCAGAAAGAATTCTACAGTTTCCATTTCCAAATATCATAGATATCATAAACCAAAACATAATAAATGAATAAAGAATATTATAGATACTTCAAATTATAAGCTACACATGGATTAGCACAACTAGTGGGGAAATTTTTTCAGAAAGATATCTTTGATTTATATCAAATATGGGAGAGATGAATAAGGCATAACATACAATCCAGAGCCAAATGTGTTTCCTGAAAAGAAACAATCCAATTACTAATAAGGTTGTGTTAATTACAGTAGCAGAAGCTCTGAAGTACATAACATAAATCTCAATCTCCATTTTACAAAGATGCAGTCTCATGTCAGGAGACTAATCCGTTTGATTCAAATAACTGACTAGCTCATAGATTCCAGCTCTACCAACAACAGCAAGCTTGCACAATTTGGTTGCATTTATCCCAAATGTAATTTACTAAATGCTGCCTAAAAAGCCTGGACAGAATGTAGAACAAGTCTAATGGTCTCCAAGTCAAAAGCAATTGAAGAATTAGTCCCTCCTAGACTGCATACAAAACCACTTTACCAATGATAAACTCGCAGTTAAGTTCATGCATCCCTACCCAAAGTGATCAAGATGCAACAAGTTCTCAAGTTATCTATGTTGTTTCTTCGCTTGTAAACTTGAGGACCAATCTACAGGTCTTTTTCTCTCGAATAGTTTGGTTTTACTTTCAAGTTCATCATCATCAGTGTCTTCCTCAATACTCCCACCTTTCCCAGGACCTGCAGATTTGTCATCGTGCTTGGCAGCTTTTGTTTTACTAGTCACCAGTTTGGCACGTAATCTCCTTTCAACAGGGTCATTTGAATGCATAACTTTGGTTTCACGAGGAACAATTGCTCCAACACCCAGCCTGAAAGACCCTGAGAAATTAGTGTGTAATGTCTCAAAGCAAATTCAGCAGTTCATCTAGTCACTGACTCATCTTACTCATCCAGTCACTTACTCATCTTACCTAGGAGGACGAGTTTCTATCTTCACTTTAGCTGATTTATCAAGCTCATCCATGTTACTCATCTTACCGACCCATTCTTCAGCCTGCAAGTAAGTAACACATTATGATAATTCAGCCGCTTAAAAGTTCATTTACATTAAGAAGAGAAGCTCATGAACAAATTATCTGCACTCCAGGACAATAGGATCTATGGTTTTAAATCAAAAGGCAAAGAAATTGATGCTCAAACAAAAAACATCAAGGCATGCCAATTTTCAAATACTTCTACCAGAATCATCAAAAATACAAGTTACTAAAACAAGGTTACTCTGCATCTTGTGATGCCAAGAATACGTAAACAACTCATACTTAAATTCAATCACAACGAGCAAAAATTTAATAGACATACCAATTAAACCAAACAAATAAATGAACGAACATACCAATTTGAATGCTCTATTAAACTTCACTAACGGAGGCAGTGGTGCTCCTTTAGAACCCTTCTCTGGTTGTATATTGTTCTGCTCACCACCCTGTCCAAGTAGAAACTAACCAATATCAACTTCTCAAATAGACAATGGATAATGCAATCACACTTCTCATTTACAAGCTCAGAACTTCATCAAACTGAAATTGTAAAGAAGTTCACCAAAATCATAAGTTCACATCCATGTGTAACACAAGATATCGGGTTTGAATGTAAAAGAATGAGGGGGAAAGAACCCCAATTATATAAATGTGACAAATATATGATTGAACCTAAGAACAGAATCAATTAAACAGCAGGAGAGTTCAATTCCTGAGTTGATATAAACCTATGACCAGCACCATCCTAAAGAGGGAACATTCTAAGCTTTTGATTCTTCTCATTACACTACTCAAATCCTGAAAAAGGCACCCTCCAACATAGTACTAACACAGAAAAAGATTCAATCTTTTTTGCGCAGAAGCTATGAAATTAAATATGAGCTCGGAAAGCAGGGTTATCATAATAACAACCCAGATTTGTAGAAAGTAAACAAAATTACCATTCCTAATCTCTGTAAACGCTGAACTCTGTAACGGGATGCGGCCGGGCTGCGGAGAGCTCAGAAGTTTTGAATATGAACTCTACTGTTCGACAGAAGGTCTCGGGTTTCTGGGAATTGTAGTGTTGGGAGTTTCAGAGCCTCGGGGCGGTGACCAGGTGACTGTTGGCCGTGAAAACTAACGGAGACGCCTCAATTGCTGTTGCTTGCGCACGCCGTCGGAGCTGTTGGGTGGACTCGGGAGGTACTGCTTGAAATAGTAGTTGTATTTAGATTGTAGTGATTTCTTTTTCTGCCAAATTTAAATTATGGAAATTAAAATAGGGTTTAAGTTTAATTTATTCAATAACAGTTGTAGGAGTCCAATTTTATTTGGGGACGTACCATGTGTAATATAGGTATTCTTCCCTGAATTAGCATCAATTACACCTTACTCTTTTTTTTCTTTTGAGAAAAAAGGAAGAAGAATATGTTAAAGTATTTCGGACAAAAGTATACTTGATGTGAACCGAGCAATGCACGGGGTAGAAAATACTGTCAAGAAAATAATTTTTCTAGAACTAAAAATAAAAGTTCGACAAAAATTATTAAAAAATAATTAAAAAAAGTGCGTTACTACCAAAAAAGTGTGTTACTTCAAAAAAAAGAAAAGAAAATTAATGGTGACTCGAAATTGTGACCCCTCAAAATTTAGGGATCAAAAGTGTGTTTTGTCCTTTTTTTCTTTTTTTTTTCATTGTTGATAGTACAGTATTAGTAGTTGTCGATGTTACTACCCAAAAAAAAATTATCAGTCTTAGTCCTGGATTTAATTTTTTTCCATAAATAAATCTATACAGATTTTGTCATATATAGAGTTCGTCTTTTATCTTGTAATATTGATACAGTTTTTGTCAGCCAAACAAAAAGTTGAGTTTGCATTATATAAAAAGTAACTTTAGTTAGATTATCTAAAGACTAAACTGTAGAAATGGTCCTTTACATTTGCTCGAATTTAAATTTTGGTCCCCTACATCAACATGTATATAGATTGAGCTTTTACATTTCATTTTGGAACTATTTTAGTCCTTTTTCATAGTTCCGTTACAATTTCCGTCATGACCATCGTTGACCTAACTCATGTCAGGGGTATTTTCCGAATACCATATATAAAATCGAAATAATTTTAATTTCATTTTTTTTTACTTTTTCCCTTTTGTGGGTCCAACATGTATTTTGGTTTCACTTGTATTTTACATCATTCAATTCCAAAATCTACAAAATATAAGAAATTTTTTTGTTTTTACCAAGTCTCATTACAGCAAAAAATTCTACAAATTCATCATAACTTTTTACTTCTTTTTTCTTGAGCTTTTTATTTACCATAGATATACACAGTGATCCTCCATCTTTATTAAGAACAAAAAAGAAAAAAAAAAAAAAAAAGAAAATCACGAAAATGAAAGCCCCATTTTTCTTCCGTCTTCATCTTCATCCCACCACTATTACCTCCTCTCATCCTCCATCAATAGGCTCCCAATTTTAGACCTTCATCATTTCAAGGTATTTTTTGTTATGGAGTATAGATTTATGACATTATAACCTTGGAAATTAATCTACCTCGTTCCTCTTGGTAAGGCTCTGTTTGGTTCGTTTTTTCATTGGTTTTTTTCAGAATTTTTTAATTAATATCTGTCCCATCTCAACATACCTTTTTACATTCTCAATACACCTTTTCACATTTTCAATAAACCTTTTTACATTCCCAATACAAAAAAATATACACTCAAAAAACGATCCAAACAAAGCCTAAGGCGCTTTATTTAACAGATTATTCGACTACATTTTTTTGCCTTTATTTGAGAGGATATTTGTTTCACATAAATCAAGCTTTTTAAACAAATGACATTAACGTTAATGCAAATTTCTTAAACATTTGATATTAGCTTTTAAGGTACATGGGGTTTAAGCCTAATAGCAATAAATCGGTTCATAAGTTCTAATTTTTAAATAATATTTTTTTAATAATAAAATATTCTCCCCGTCTTGAAGTGATTCTTCAATTAAACAAACATAGTAATAATAATTTTTTGATTTGCAGAAAAAATAATTAGATCATAAACAGTTCCAAACACATATGATAGAGAAAACTTTTCATGTTCTTTTTCTTTTTAAAGCATTAATTTTTCTTTGATGATTATCCAATTAAAAGTAAGCACCATCGATTGTTTAATATATAAAACAAAATGTTAGATTAAATAACAAATTGGTATTGACTACATCATCTGGTGGATATGGAAGAAATTATTGGAGTGTGTACTGATGAATTTCGTTGTAATATTTACAAAATGTAGCTTTTCTTTGACTAAAATAGTAATAAATGAATAAGTGATGTGTCTTCGTTTAATCAATTAATAAAGAAATTACGTACTATAGCTAACTAAGTCCTCATTGTCTATAGCTTTTCATAAGTTTTAGTTATTATTAAATGATAATTTTTTAATTTAAATTTAAAAAATTCTACATAATTAAATGATAAATTTACTACGTAATTAAGCAACATTCTCCAAATATTTAAGTTAAAAAATTATTTATTTAACTGCCAAACAAATAAATATATATACTTAAATAAATAAATGAATTAAATAAATTAAAGAATTAATTAAATAAATAAATTAAAAAAAGAAATAAATTAAATAATTATTTTTTAAAAAAAAGGGTGGCGGCCGATTGGACCGCCACCCAATCGGTTTGGCGAGCGGTTTGCTCGCCAAACCGGTGTGCGCCACCCCCTTTAAAGAGGCAAAAAAATTCTCGCCATCCTAAGAAGGGTGGCGAGAAAAGTGCACGGGTGGCGTGTTCCTCGGCTGGCGCAAAAATGCGTCGCCCCCTCCCTTTAAAAAAAAATAATAATAAGGATAAAATAGTCTTTGAAGTCTTTTTAAGGCGCTCAAATGAGAAAATTTGGGGCTCAGCAACAACACCAAAAAAAAAAAAGATGAAACCCATTTTCTTTCTCTTCATCTTCATCTCATCAAACATATCATCAACATCATCTCTCCCTAATTGAGCCATGTCTAGATTTCTACAGAGAATCATATGCATAGGACAGAAAATCCCTTGGTAACCCCCTTTAGTGAAATAATCAACCGTGCGAACAACATCTCGTGGACATCCACTACTCTTTTTTGTGCGATTAGCATCCAAGCCAAGCAAGAACAGTCACCAAAATGTTGTTCCTCCAGTAAGCAATCCGACCCATCTTCAATTGTGTCCACCATGGCTCCGCCGACGGCTTAGCTAAGTTCTTCTCATCAAGCAGTTCAAACTCAACTCTCCTCACCATCTCAGCAACAGCCCTCAATCCAGACAGTGCATCCCCTCTTTCTCCCAGAAATCACTACATATTTCGAGTTATCAGGCGGGTACAGCTCAATGGTGACCCATTCATAAGAAATATATAACCACGCGGGCTTTAGAACCCGGTAGATACATTTTCGAGACCAGCTTCAAGGGAGGCGACAAAATTATCAGATCTGATTTCTAATTTTGTCTATGAGTGAATTTGATCCAAAGAAAAAATGAAGATATAGCCGGGCTACTTTGATCAGACGGGATCTCAGATAACCGTAAAAGTGATAGTAGGGGGAGAAAATAGCAGATTTCACCGCCAGAGGCAACGACAATAGAACCAATAGCTAGGGAGAAATAGTAGTCAGTGATGGTGGAGTTTATTTAATACTGTAACACTTGGGATTAATCCAAGTCGATTTGTTTTCTAATTTTCTTTAACTAGATGTAACCCGTGCAGCGCACAGGTAAAAAAGTTACAATTTAAATAATATCACATCATAAATAAATGTTTATAGAAAACAAACAAACGATATAGATTTAAAACCGTGTTAAATGAAAATATGTAATACTTGCAAAAAATGAATAACGCAATTAGAAAAGTGTAGATTCCAATATATGCAGTGAATTAGTTCAAATAGTTGAAAATGTAACTTTATTCTGGTAACAAATACAATTAACTTAAAAAAAAAGTTTTAATTTTGGATTCTTTGTAAATTGATAATGATTATGTTTTTAGGTATATAGTTTAAAGAATTTTCCCCTTGTGTGTAGATGATACTGATAATATTAATTATTCAGAATGATGATAAGAATTAGTTACTAATGTTTAAATTTTAAATTCATCTTTTTGAAAAGGTTGATGATAAGATTAAGTGATCATACAATTCCAAAGTCAGTTGCGTTAATTTGAGACTAGATTATATCCAACACTTATCCTATAAGATTCATTAATAGTATATATTAGGTGTTAGACCCGTCGGATGGACGGGGAGCACATATACATAAACATTGCTACACAAACAAATAAAAAAAATGTTAATATTTGTATTGATTTTTGTATTTTTATAAAATATATAATGAATTCATTAAAAAATATAAAACACAAATATCGACAACACTTTACCAAACGAATACACTGGTAATTTATTTAACGCAAAAAAGATTGTAAAGAAATTAAAAAAAATGAACTTTGAATTAAATAATTATATATCTTGCAATATTTCTTGGTAGACTACATTGGTAGTTTGGGGTAGAAAGGTCGACTATGGTGATTAAAAAATTATGATAAGGAATTTTTTATTTTTTTTTGAAAAGGTTTATGATAAGGAATGGTTACTACAGAAACAACAACCCTAACTTGTTGTAGAGGCCATCTAATTTTTTAATTAGAAAAATTAAAAAAATAAAAAAGTTGGATATCAGGACCTTTATTCCTTGTTTCGGAGTGCCTTTTGATTTCTTTGCCCCGCTACATCAACCTATCACCATAATATTTTAACTCAACAATTCCATATTTGAAGCTAAATTATAGGAGTTTCAGGTTGGCCTAACTTCTTTAATTATTTTAATAAATTATTAATATAAAATTCTTTTTCAGTTGCGTTTTTTTTTTTTTAGGAGGAAGAGATCCATCCATCGGATTTGCAGGGTTTTGGTCGAATCAATATAGAGTTTAGAGTTTTTCAGTTGCGTTTTTTTTTTTTTTGGTTTTTATTGTTTTATTTTGTGCATTTTGATATCTAAAAAATTAAGAAAATACCACATAGGATTGATAAAATCCTATGTGTCATGTGCTCTTTAACTTTCGATTTCTCTCTGGTATTTGCCTTAGTATAACACACGCGTCCCGGTTGAACCGGGGACGCGCAATGAACGCGTCTGGTTCAATGGCGGACGCGTTTGTTGCTGGCCCCCGTTCAACCGGACATTTCTGAACACACGCGTCCGGTTGAATCGGGGCGCGAATGAACGCTCCGGTTCAATGGCCGGACGCGTTTGTTGCGCGTCCCCG